GGGAGCTAACTCCGTTACGTGGTGCTAGGGATTCGAACTGCTGAACTGCTGACCTTTCTGATCGACAAGCTCAGCGTCTTAGTCACTGAGCCACTGCATCCCCAGTGGCAGTTGTAGAAACGTGTATTGTCTACTTTATCTTTGCTTTGCTTGTCTGCCCTACCTAAGACTTCCAGAGGGATGCCAGGCAAGACCAACATTTTTAAAAAAGCATAGAACAGCATCATGGTTGGAAGGGATCTTGAAGTTCTTCTAGTCCAACCTCTTGCTCAAGCAGGAGACCCTGTAACATTTGAGACAAATGGCTATCCAGTCTCTTCTTAAAAGCCTCCAGTGATGGAGCACACACAACGTCTGAAGCAGAGGTGGTATTTAGCCAGTTCTGACCAGTTCTGGAGAACCGATAGCAGAAATTTTGAGTAGTTTGGAGAACTGGCAAATACCACCTCTGACTGGCTCTGCCCCCATCTATTCACTGCCTCCTGAGTCCCAGCTGATCAGAGTCCCAGCTGATCAGAGTCCCAGCTGATTGGCTGGGTCTTCTTCTGCTACCCAGCACAAGAGAATGGAGCTGGAAAGCAGTTTAGTGGGGTGGGGAGGGAATGCGGATTTTATAGTATCCTTGCCCTGGAGTGGGGTGGAAATTGAGATCTTACAGTATGCTTGCCTTTGAGTGGGGAGGGAATGGGGATTTTGCAATATCCTTCCCTTGCCATGCCCACCAAGCCACACCATGCCCACAGAACCAGTAGTACAAATTTTCAATCCCACCACTGTAATCTAAAGGCAAGTCATTCCACTGAATAATTGTTCACAATGACAGAGAATTTCTCCTTAGTTCTAGGTTGCTTCTCTCTTTGATTAGTTTCCATCTATTGCTTCTTGTCCTGCCTTCAGGAGCTTTGGGGAACAGCTTGGCTCCCTCTTCTTTGTGGCAGCCCCTGAGATACCAGAAGACTGTTACCATGTCTCCCCTAGTCCTTCTTCTCACCAGACTAGACATAGCCAATTCCTGCCCCCGTTCTTCATATGAAGCAGTCATTGGCCAATGTTCCCTTCATTTACCTGCAAGACCAAATCTACTTTGTTTGTTCTGACTTTCCCAACCAACTGTATCTTAAGTGAACCATAGCTTAATGCCACTCTCTCTTTCAAGGCCAAGGCTCCAAATTCAGTTGTGCTGGTGGTAGGGACGCATCTGGACCTCATTGAAACAAAATTCCGTGTCGAGAGGATTGCCACCTTAAGAGCCTACGTCCTGGCTCTCTGTCGATCTCCCTCCGGCTCAAGAGCCACTGGTTTTCCAGACATCACATTGAAGCATTTGCAGTAAGTTGGGATATATCAGGAGCACTCTATAAGCTTCCTAAAGGCTATGCGTGCAATTTCTTTTGACAAAAATGGGCCTGTTTTTTGCTCATTTGGGGGGGGGCATCCTCCAGGAGCACTCTGCAAGCCCCCTAAAGGCTATTCCTGCCTTTTGGGGGGGGGGAGTTTGTGAGGTTTGCAGAGTGCAAAAATCCTTTTTTTTAATTTGCCTCTTTAAAACCTTGGTGCATCTTATACTCCGGTGCGTCTTATACTTCGAAAAATATGGTAGTCAAAGCAGTTCTTAAACAATAAGAGAGGTTTTTAAATGTCTGAGATTAGGTCTTAAACCTTGTGGTTGCCTGACAAAATTGTACTCTAGAGAGCTGGTTACAAGACCTAGCCCTAACATTTTAATTTTACAGCTCAATCCAACATGCGCCACAAACAGAGCACAAGGTAGCATTACCATGTCACACTGAAGCTTTCAGGCTGACACAGTCGCTGCCCACAAAAATGTGTTGGTAATGAACCTTGTACGGCTTGGTTAGCCAAGCTTGACCTGACATTTGAATGAGAGAGTTTAGGGGTTTTTTTTCAGTAGAGAAGGAATTAGAGGTCCACAATAGCTTATTGTCTGCCTTCTGAGATCCTACTCTGCTTCTTAATTGCATTTCCTTGAGCCCAGGACAGTGGTACTTCATTAGAAAGAGTATAAATGAAGCAAGCCAATTTTGCTAACAATAAGGGACAGGACTAGGTACTTAGCAAAATATTTTCCTTTCTGATTTCAGCAATAACGCCATTGGTTAAGGAGCAAATGTAACAAGGAATGCTGAGTTGATCTCAGTTTATATCAGAAAGCTAAGCACGGTCAGGCCAGATTCATCCATCCGTAGGTGAAATACCAGTAGGAAATCTAGGAATAGATAATGAAATTAGAAATGTTACTAAGAGCTGTGGTGGTGCAGTGGTGAGAATGTAGTATTGCAAGTTAACTCTGACCACTTCCAGCAGTACGATTCTGATCAACTCAAGATTGACTCAGCATCTCATCCTTACGAGCAGGGGTGGGTTTCAACCGGTTTGCGGCGGTCCCTGCGAACCGGTTGGTCTGCGAACCCGGAAGTAAGTAACTTCCGGGAACGGCAAAGGGCGCACCCGCCCGCCCGCGCTCCTTACCCGGTTTTGACGAGTTCTGCACTTCCACGCATGCGCAGGATGCATACAGCCCTGCGCGATCCTCCAGGAGCAGCTGGAGCATCGCACAGATGCTAGTNATATAAGTCTAACTGCTATTGCTATTGCTATTTATATCTCTATATCTGTCTGTCTGTCTGTCTGTCTGTCTGTTTGCTAAATGATTGTGGTCTGGAGGTCAGAAATCAGGGTTTTCAGGAACAATGTTGGCAAGGATGCCAAATTTCAGTTTGCTAATGGAGATGCCTCTTGATTAAATCTGAAGGAAGGTATTTTGTAGTCATCAAGAACCCGCCAAAACCGTCCTTCACAATGATAGAACAGAGCTTTGTTTTTCCCTTCAAAGCAAAAGTGATTCAAGCATGCCTGTAACCAGAGTGTGTGTGTTCTGCGGAAGACATAATAGAAAATACATTTGACACTAGTTAATTCTAAGCACTTGATTACATTGGCATTAACTTCATGGGCAATCTGTGTAATTAGCCACCCAATCTTGTTATCTTGTTATTATCTTGTCATCACTTCAAACTGTTCAGTTGATTTGTATCAACACTGGGAATAATTCTGCATGATTTCAGGGCCATAGTAGGCTCGTATAAACATTCAGTTTTTGCCGGGGAAAGATTGAAAATATATCTCGGTAACCCTGCAGGGTGTGTTCTTGGTATCACCCCAGAATTAAGGTTGCAAAACAAAGACCTTCAGTGGCAAGGTGACTGACTGATTGATTGCCGGCACCAACAAAATATAGTTTCCCAAAATTGAAACAACCCATTCTTCCATTGATCTCTGAGCCAGACAGACTTAACTTTGAATAGCCTTCAGTTCTGGGGAAGATTTGGGAAAACTGAAACTGCCCCAATCTGATCCCTTAGGAAAGAAAGACCATCGACTCCATTTGTTTGAAATGAAGAAATATTTTACTAAAAGATGTTGGCTGCAGTAAAGTCAGGCAAGATTTTGGTTTCCCACATGCAAAAAATAGAGAAAAGTTTCCCCACTTCCCAGGGCCCCCCCCCCATGACCACTCTGTTTTTAGCCAATCAGAACTCGCTGAATTGTTTTGAGAACACAGATGTTTTGGGGTAATCCACATTCTTTCTCAGGGTGCCTGGCCTTGGATGCTGATACAAATTGGTTCTGACTTTCTCTGGTCTTTATCACCTGCCATTCCCCCTCCCTATTTCCCATCATGTACACACACCATTTTATTGCCCATTTATCTTCCCTCCTGCACCTTTGATGGCAGGGTTGACCTCCTCTTCTTTATGGCAGCCCCTCAAATACTGGAATACTGCCATCATGTCACCCCTACTCCTTCTTTTCTCTGGACTGGCCTGCAACCATTTTTCATATGTTTTAATCTTAATCATCTTAATTGCTCTTCTCTGCACTTTTTCCGAAGTCTCCGCGTATTTTTTTGTAACAGGGGTGACCAAAACTGGATGCAGTATTCCAGGTATGGCCTTATTAAGGTTTTATTTTATTTATTACTGATCTGGTACCGTTCTTTTTGTAATATGTTCATTTTCCTCCCCTCTTCTAGTTCTTTGAAAACAAGAGGGTGACCAAGACCAGAAATAAAAGTTCTGTAATCTACAGCTTTACGGGCACACAAAGAAACAGATGCAGCACATTCCGTGTTAAAAGAAATCACACAATTTATTGGCAAGAGGGATTGTTTGTCTCCTTCGATGGAGGCTATTTGAGGTAAATATTACCGAAGGCGGATTCAGTCTTAAGGCATTCCAAACCCCAAAGTAAGATGGAACTCTTAAAAATGCCTCTCATCATTGACATTTCTTGGTAAGCAGAGATATGAGCTTAATTTTGCACAATTCAAAAATTGCAGCAACAGGTTCTCTGCCCCATTGCTGGGTGGGCGTGGCCATGGTGGGCGTGGCCTAGTCAGCCTCCTGCACCACGGCGGTTCAAATTTGGCAGTTCAAATTTCAACAGGCTCAAGGTTGACTCAGCCTTCCATCCTTCCGAAGTGGGTAAAATGACGACCCAAATTGTTGGGGGCAAGAGGCTGACTCTGTAAACTGCTTAGAGAAGGATGTAAAACAGAAAGCTTGGGGGCCAAAGTAGATATTTGTATTCTCCTGCTCCCACACCTTTGAACTTGTGACAACTAGTGGTTCCGTAATGTTTCCCTTTGTGTTTTTTTTTTGTTCTTTGAGATCAACTTTTTTTGTGTGAGAGTGACGAGTTCTATTCTGAGGCTATAAACACACTACCAGACTGCACAGTTTTCTCAAATCGTCTTAATCTTCGATAATGAATTGTTCCCCATAAGCACTTTTTTTTTCAGCCTGGTTCTGTTTGGAAGAAATTGGGGAGGGGGGGTTATTGAAAACAGAGTGAAGTCCTGCAAATTTGCAAAGCATGCCTACACCAGTGGTGGGTTTCAAAAATTGTTCGAACCTACTCTGTGGGTGTGGCCTCCTTTGTGGGAGTGGCTTGCCGCCCATGTGACCGGATGGGAGTGGCTTGCCGGATATGAAGATGCCGACGACACTTGTCAGAACCACCTTAAATTACCTCACACACAGCACTGGCATGCATAAGAATATGATGTAAACTTGTTTTTTAAAAGGCATCTTTGGTTTGTGTTAAAACAACTTCAACACACACAATGTTCTGATTGCACCACAAACGCAGTAGTCATCCTTACCTTTCACAGAGGCACTGAGTTTTATAAATATGAGCATGATAGTGTAGAATAATCATATCCCAAGGACCAGTGGTGGGTTTCAAAAAAATTTGGAACCTCTTCTGTAGGTGTGGCCTGCTTTCCGGGTCCACTGGTGGAACCTCTTCTAACCGGTTCGGTAGATTTGACGAACCGGTTCTACCGAATAGGTGCGACCTGGTAGGAACCCACCTCTGGTCTACACCACCTTTCAGACGGGGACTTTTAGTACACAAATGCAAATTTTAAACTTCTTTGACCCTCACACAAGGAAGAGCAATTTCAGGATGCATGCTGTGCGTTCACACAGGTTCACAGGTTGTATATATAACCTCCCTTTTATTTCCAACTGCCTGCCTTTTCCCTTGTCTGATTACAAAAAGATCCCTGTTGAACTGGGACATGAAAGTGGAGTGGTCAATTCCTAGGAATACAAGTGGTCCTTGACTTACAGGACCACAATTGAGCCCAAAATGTCTGTTGTTATGTGAGCTTTGCCCCATTTTACATCCTTTCTTGCCACTGTTGTTAAGAGAATCACTGCAGGTGTTAAATTAGTAACACGGTTGTTAAGTGAATCTGGTTTCCCCATTGAATGTGCTCTCATGACACAGGGACACTGCAGACCGTCATAACTATGAGTCAGTTTCCATAGATCACGTGACTATGGGGATGCTGCAATGGTCGTAAGTGTGAAAAACAGCCATAAGTCATTTTTTTTCAGTGATGTTGTAACTTTGAATGGTCTCTACACAAACTGTTGTAAGTTGAGGAGTGTTGTAAGGCGTGAAAGGGTAGGAGGCAGCAAGTCTGTGAAAAACCTGGGCCTCCTGCTACATCCTGATGTATGCCCCCTTTTGCACTTGGATGAAAGACGCAGCCCTATTAAAAACAAATAGAAATAAGTAGCTAACGGGGGGGGGGGGGGCAAAAGAGGTTTCGTAGCTGCTGAGTCTCAGTGGGGAAGCTGCTAGAGATCTACCCAATGCTCCTTCCAATCGATCAGTTTCTCAATCTTCTTTCTCTTTCGCTTTGATTCCTCCAGCGTGGAGTCCTCTGATGTGAATTGGAAGAAGAAGAAAAGTGGTGGCATTAAAATCATCTGCCAGTCAGACGTGAGGGATTTTTCAGCCATGGCTTTTATCACTGATCACGTGAATTCTTTGATCGACCAATGGTTTCCTGGTAAGAATGATTTCTGCATTTTAATGTGTGCCACTGTGTACACAGAAACAAAGGTTGTCATGTCCTACTTTACCCTACCCTACCCTACCCTACGCCAACTACTCTACTCTACCCTACTCTACCCTACCCTACTCTACCCTACCCTACGCTATGCTACCCTACTCTACTCTACCCTACTCTACCCTACTCTACCCTATCCTACCCTAACCTATCCTACCCTAACCTACTCTATCCTATGCTACCCTACTCTATCCTACCATACCCTACCCTACTCTACTCTACTCTATCCTACTCTACTCTACCCTATCCTACTCTACCCTACTCTATCCTACCATACCATACCCTACCCTACTCTACCCTACCCTACTCTACCCTACCCTACTCTACCGTATGTTACCTTACCTTACCTTATCTTATCTTGTCATTTTGGCTAAAATAAGGATGAGGTGGCCTAAGCTTGAAACATTATGTTATCCTTAGGGATGTAGCACCCTGGACGATCATATTACAAGAAACAATTGTGTGATTTGTTCTGCTTTGGCTTATTGTGCTGTATGAATCCATCTCATTCATTCATTCACTCTATGGCCGCCTATAGGCCATCTTCACAATGAGCTAAAAACATAAAATACAACAAAACAATGAAAACATATCATATCAGAGACAGTTCATAGCTAAACATCCCTACGGTAAAGTAATCACTTAAACTATTTAAACGATCTCACTTAATGTTCTGACGCAACACCTGTGAGAAGAGCCAGGTTTTCAACCGATGTTATGGTTACTGTGTTATGAATATAAACCATATTTTGTAGCTTACAATACGGTGTTAATCCATTATTATTTATTTAAGAAACCGTAACTCAGCATGGTTATGAATTCAGCCCCACTATCAGGTGATCTACTTCAACTATAATTTGTAAAGATTGCACTGGCCGCTTCAGAATGGTTTGTGAAAAATGAACAAATGTTTTCATCTTGTGTGACATTATATTAATGCGATTGCTCACTTAAAAAGTTCACAAACGTGAGGATAATTTAATACAAAGTGTGCATGTGCGTGTGAGCCTCTGATCATGCACTCAAAAAGAACTAACGGGCTAAAAAACCATCCATAAATGCATTTTGAAGACGCATTTCCTCCCTTTTCCCGAAATGTCAGTTATAAAATATGCATGCCTCATTGAAAATCAAAGAATACTGTGTTTTTAATTTCAGAATGTTGTCTTTGTTCGACAGCAGATTCAGATCATTTAACTTCCCCAGTAAATTGATTCATCAACTAATCATCACATTACTCCATTAATTAAGTTAACGCTTTGATCATTTCTGAAAGTTGGTCATGCATGAAAAAGAAGAAAGGAATGGCATTATGAAAACTAAATTTAAATTCTGATCTGAATAAGTTTGGGGTGTATAAACTGATGAAGAAGCGAAGTACTAAAAACACAGAACTAAGTCATTGATTTCATGATTAGGTGATTCTGGCAACAGCCTGTTGAAAAAAGGAAAAGAAAAATATGCTGAGGACTATCTGTACTGTTAGTTTTGAAGACTCAATCTTACCTCCTGCAGATACCAGTTGCAAGGAAACATCAGCAATAGCAATAGCACTTAGACCTATATACTGCTTCATAGCCCTACCTAAGTGGTTTACTGAGTCAGCCTATTGCCCCCAACAATTTTGATCCTCATTTTACCAACCTGGGATGGATAGAAGACTGAGTCAGCCTTGAGCCAGTCAGGATCGAACTGCTGGCAGTGAGCAGTGAATTAGCCTGCAATACTGCATTCTAACCAGAGGTTGGTTCCTACCAGTTTGGCCCGGTTCGGCCCAGTAGGTAGTAACTCGGCCGTCCATGCACCTGAACCAGTTCTATTGTTGGCGGCGCCACCTTTATTTTTGCTTCTCCACATTTGCAGAACTATCTCCATAGCAGAAATGTAATATTTCCCCCTTTTCTTGCATTCTGCACATGCACAGACCTTTTTTAGGTGTAAATGCACACATGCATTTTTTGCACACTGAACTGGCAATAATGTCGGTAGCATCCCACCACCATGACTCACGTAGTAGTAGAGGAATATACATTCATCTCCTTGCAGAGCAGTCCGTAAATATATGGTTAGCTACTGTGTTACACCCATTGGAGGATCAGGATGATCTTGGCTTGATCTATTGGAACTCGTCTTTGGTTCTACTGTCAAGGAGCACATCCAGAAGCCCAAAGGTATCTGTCATCCCCAGAAGCCTTGGAGAAACTCCTTGGAGCTTTGTCAAAAGTTGCAACTAGCTTTGTCTTCAGCTTTTGAGGGCCAGAAGGAGAAAATAATTGTATGAACTGTGTTAATTGTATAATGTAATACAATATAACATCAGCTAACTTAATACAATATAACATCAGTTAAATTAAATCAAATATTTGGTTTGAATCAGAAGACTTTGGGGAATATTTAGGGAATAAGCTGTGGTGGTGCAGTGGTTAGAGTACAGTACTGTAGGCTACTTCTTCTGACTGCCAGCTGCCTGCAATTTGGCAGTTCGAATCTCATCAGGCTCAAGGTTGACTCAGCCTTCCATCCTTCCGAGGTCAGTAAAATGTGGGCCCAAATTGTTGGGGGCAATAGGCTGACTCTGTAAACTGCTTAGAAAGGGCTGTAAGGCACTGTGGAGTGGTATATAAGTCACTTCTATAATGACGTGACTTATATACAACTTACATAATCTAGCATTCTATAATGCTATTGCTATATTGTCCCTGGTGTGTGGGGCATCAAATGGAAATGAGGGTTCCTAACTTGAAAAAAGTTGCACAGCTTGAATTTTTTTAAAGGCCCTGAAACGAATGATTTTGATAAATAGATCCTCTAGCTGTCATCCCTAACTATTCCCCACCAGTTTAACTTCCTAAGATTTAGACTTTGTGCTTTTAAGTAAGTAGTGTTTCTAGCAAGCTTCTCAGAGCCTGCAGAGGGAAAGTTTTCTTTGCAATGGCCTTTTCAGACCTTGAAAAGAATTTGGCAGGGAAGCCAGTACCTCTTCAGAGGGCATTTTAATATTCTGGCAACTGGACTCTGAAACTCAGGGAGGTGCAAAAATTAGAAGTCCGTCAGCATTTTTTATGCATTTTAATAAATTGGTGGGGGGAGGGGGAAATTGCCAGATTCCTTCCGATTTTGGGATGCTAAAGACTATGTCTGCCTGCCTATACTTCCAGTTCTAGCACTGGATCTTATTTTTATTCAAGGGCAGATGTCGCTGCAATCCCCATTGTCCATTCCTCTGATAGCAGTAGCACTTAAAACGTATATACCGCTTCACAGTGCTTCACCGTGGGATTCAGCCAGTTCGTACCTCTCCGGGAGAACCGGTTGTTAACTTTCCAAGTAGTTCAGAGAACCGGTTGTTGGAAGAAATCTCATTTTGTTTCCCTACCCCCACCCACTTTACAGGGCTAATCCTGTAAGGAAGGCAAGAAGGAAACATTCTGGTGTTTGTATTTTGTATTTGTATTTATTGCACATTTATAGGCCGCCCTTTTCCCTGAGGGGACTCAGGGCGGCTTACAATCAAAGGGGAAAGGGAGTGTAGGACAAATACAAAAAGAGGTGTGAACAAAAGTAAATACAAAATACAAAATACAAAA